TAAGAATTAAATACATGCTGATTAACAAAAACCCAGTTTTTTTTTTCTTTTGAACTCAGGCTTAAGTTATCATTTTCATCAGAAAAATAACAAAAAAGAAAACAGAAACTGACAAAAAGAGACAACAATATTTCTCAGGTAATGTTACACTTCCATTAGTGAACATTGCAGATTTAAGTCATTATTTCAAGCAGTTCTGCTATCTGTCAGAAAATACCAATACAAATTTAAACCTTTTATTGAGTATATGAGAAAAAGGCTATGTTTCTTGTCTTTCAGCATTTGCTCTTCACTAGATCTACAAGATCATCTGAGGGATCTGATTGAATCAAGATGCTGCTGATCATTAAAGCTCTTGGTTATAGCTGCTCTAGGACAGGTAAGCTTGTGTTCTAGTATGAATATTACAAACAGGAATACTGATGATTGATTATTATGATTCCTGTTGCCGCATGATCACAGAGCTGCTGCGGTTTCAGAACAGATATTTCCACTGGATATGGCACTGAATTCAGTTGATGACCAATATATGGGCTGTAAAGGGAAAATGGCACATCTGGTGAAGACAAAATATCTGAAGGAAATGGAAAACTCACTAAGCTAAATTTAATCATTATTGGCAACACAGTAAAAATGTTGTCAAGTTTCCAAAAGATCATTTAACGAGAAATAATTTAATCGCTACCCAGCAAGCAATTTAGCGTTTAAAAGACATCTATTAACCGTCTAAACACAGCCCAGACGTCTAGGCTAAAACAAAGCTAAATTTGGGCTGTCAGTGAAAATTTAATAGACGTCTAACCATAGCCCAATAATAGACTAGTCATCAATTAGACCGCTATTAAACAACTACATATACAGTGGGGAAAAAAAGTATTTAGTCAGCCACCAATTGTGCAAGACGTGATGTCTCCGTTCCCTCCTTCAGGGAACGAGGGTTACCATACGTAACCGAGACGTTTCCCAGCAAGCAATTTTGCGTTTAAAAGCCGTCTAGGCTAAAACAAGGCTAAATTTGGGCTGTCAGTGAAAATTTAATAGACGTCTAATCATAGCCCAAGAATAGACTAGTCATCAATTAGCCCGCTATTAAACAACTACATATATACATCTAATAGACAACAAAATGGCAATTCATCCAAACAAATTCAATATACAGCTTTTATTAAGAAAAATACAATTTTTGACAACTTAAGACAATACATTACAAAATGATAAAAATACAAAAGAATTAATGACAAAATAAAATGTTATAAATACAATACACTTAAATATAAATATTTAGATAAAAAAATCTGCAGTTTTTAACAACTTAAGATAATAAAAATATAAAAATGAAAAAATTAAATATTTTAAATAACTTAAGATATTTAAAAGAAAAAAAAATCTAATACAAATCAAGAGCATGTCATCACACTTCACATTAAAACATTACGGATAAATGACAACATGAAAAAAAAAATGATTAATCCTTTTGTTGGTTTACTTTTAACAAATAAAACAACCAACAGTGAACTTAAAGGAAATGATTAATTATTGGTTTTATTTCTTTATATTTTCATTTAAAATGCTTCCCAACTGCATTCCTCAAGTCCAACTCTGTTGCTGCCGGGAAGTTGG